ACTAGTTACGTCCAGCAGCAGGAGCAGGACAAATTGAGTAGAGAAGGAAAATGTTTACATCTGGTAGAATGGGCAAACAGTAGAGACAGAGAGAAAGATATTCTAGATGGAGGGTCATCTGATTTTCCTTACTACCTTCCCCCATAGCACCATGGATTTCTGCAAAGCACATACCACACTTTGTAACCGCATATTCGTTTGGGTAATGTGTTCAATCGCTCTATCTTCCTCCACTAGACTGTGATCTCCATAATGTCTGGATGTGTTTTTCAGTCACCACTCTATGCATATATAGTACCTAACCTAGCAAAGTGCCTGGAACACAGGGATTGTTCAGCAAATGTTAACTCCTACATGAGTGGTCAAGAGACTAGGATTCCTTATGGTTTGCCATTTATCAGTTTTGCAATCTTGAGCCCTATTTCTAAGTCTCTGTATCCTCATATGTAACATGGGGTTGTGATCACTCTTTTCATATAGGGTTGAGGAAAGAATTCAATAGAATAATGAATGTCAATGCTACAGGTATTACTAATTTGGTAGAAAGAGGCAGTGAGATGAAGCCAAGACAATGATATTAAGTTACTATAGCTTATTACAGATAAGATTTGAACTTGTCCAGCTTTGTTATGTGTAGTACTGTATAGGCTCACTAGGCAAGGCAATGTAGCACGTTTAATTTAAACCGGGTATCTTTGCTTCTATTGGGTCAGGTGACCAGGGGTGCTTTCCTTGAAGATCGTCATTTACAGAGCAGGACTCATGGAACAGCTGTTCCTTTGTCATCAAACTGTTCTGACAGTGAATGAGATAGCGCACATGAAAGCAATGTGTGCCATGACTGTAACAAATCTTCTTTATAAAATTAATTTACTTATTTTTAAATTATTGTTCACATACAATATTTTATGCATTTCGGATGTACACGACAGTGATTCCACATTCATATACCTTACAAAATGAACACTGCAATAATCCTAGTAGCCATCTGCCCCCATCCAAAGTTATTACAATATATTGACTATATTCCCTAGCTGTACCAGGCTTCAGGTTCTCCTATTGGTAATAAACAAACCAGATGAGCTGTGCTTAGGAATATGAGAAATAACTTGTTGTGGGATGAATACAGGCAGGCCCTGCAGTCACAGAAATCTGGATCCCAACCGTGGCTTCGCCTCTGACATGTTTGGTGATCTTGGATCAGTGATTTCATCTTTTTGAGCTGGCTGTTCCTCACCTGTTAGTCATATACAATGAGACCTACCTCCTGGGGCCATTGCAGGAGGTAAAATAAAATCCCAGCTGGTGATACTGTGAACTCCAGGTCTCTGCAAATGTACATGAACCTCTGGCCCAGAATGAAGAGGATGCAGTGGAGAGGAGGACGTGTGTGGACTGAGAATGCTTCCCTATCAGCTACTATTTGCACTAACATATGCTGTGAAGAAGTGTAGGTACGCCAACTAAGAGTTCCAGCTCTGAGCAGCAGTTCTTATCAGTGGTCTCCCTGAATGTGGTCATGGGACTTTAAAAATAATGTTCCATTTATTTTTATTTTATTGCCAAATCAAAACCACTTCCCACTGGGTTTTAGTAGAGACAGGCAGAAGAAGAAAAACCCACATAGGAGGAAAATTTTAAAAGAAATTAAGATAATTATATCTATCTCTTTTTTCCCTATAAATTAAGAAAAGTGTCCTTTATGAATTTTATTAGCAGAACTCCTCAGTTTAGTAGGAGTATGATTGAGAAATGTAACCTTTACAAATCCAAGTGTTTATAATTCTTCCTATTAAGTTTTTGGGAATATTTACTAGTAGAGTACTAGGACTTTGTGGTGATCTGTGACCTATGGCTTTTAAATTATAGACTAAAGGAGGTCTGTCACCCCCAGTGGAGCTTGTAAAATCAAAGGCACCTATACTTTGTATAATGAGACTTGTGCTTAGGGTATATATGTGAGATGCACATCTTATTTCATTTTTCAAAGAATACTGAGAATAGGTAACACCCAAAATGTACAGAGTTGAAAACTGAGACTTAGGTTAAGTCACTTTCTGAAGGAATGTTATTAGATTATTACATTCTCTCCAACATTATTTTGAGGACATGTTTTGGGCCCCAAATCTTGATCTCTCACACAGTGTAGACTCCTCATTATTTGGGAGTAATTAGTACTTTATCCTCCACTTCCCAAGCAGACAAAAGTACAGACGAGTCTGTGCGGAGAAAGACAGGATCGTGGGTGCTTGAAAGGAGTAGGTAAAGAGAAAGGGTGGCGACAGTTTGCCTTTGAGTAGAAGAAATTCTCAAGTACAGATGAGGAGGTTTTCGACTTATTTGAAATTCTGAATGACCCATACAGGGGTGGGAAAAAGTAGGTTTACAATTGTTCATATGGAAAAATATGTAATACAAGAATAAATAATAATACAAGAATAAACTTTGTTTCACATACCCACAACTGTAAATCTACTTTTGCCTATCCCTCTACTACTCCCAAGGTGTGAACTAACAGGAGGGTAAATAGAATTGAAGTGGAAAGCCAGAAGAAATCTGAAAATTGAATCTTTGCTCCTTCAAGTCCCGTGGCTGCCAGGCTGTGAAAAGAATTATCTAGGCTTGAAAAAAGTGGAGGCAAAAAGAGACCACAGAGGTTTAGAACTATTTTTATTTCGATGCCAACATTTAAATAATTAAGTGACTTTCTGGAAATTGGAGTAAAATTTAATATTGCTTGAAAAGCAATCATTTCACATGCCCTATAATGTCTCCATCCTTAGCCAGTGCTAGGAGAAGACAACCCCCCCATCCCCGCCCCGGGCAACAGAGAGATTTTTCTTGAATGTAGAATAGGTGCAATAGCAGTAGCTGAAATAATCTGTGGCCACGAGGGTGTACCGGCTCAGCAAAACTAATATACCTCCTGAGGGTCAGCAGGCCTTGACTGCTCCCCCATCAATATCTGGCTGCCAGTGGGCACCCTTTTTAATTCAGTTATTTCCCTTCTTATAACCATTTAGCAAAGGAATTATACTTATCTTCCATGGGGAAGAAACTAAAAGAAATAGCAGAACCCAATACAATTCCATTATCACAGATTATTTTATCTTCGTAAATGTTCCAAAAATTTATCTTTAAGAGTTGGTATATTTTTCGGGTTCGTTACTATTAAAATTCAAAAAGCCAGTTTCGTCGATGCTGCCTTCCCAATGGTTCCATAAATAGATTATTCTTCTGTCCCACTCTGTCTGGAAATGGCATCCCCCTGTCTTCTCTGGACCAGCCCTGCTCATTCAGTCCACTCACGGCAGAACTTCATTCAGAAAAGTACGTTTTGGAGAATCTCTAGAAGAGATTGTTGTTTTCCCCCTTTGAAAGATTAGCTAAATATTTGACTGTACTTTCAAAGCTCTTTTATATTCAATATGTCTCTTTCTGATTCTATCCATAAGCAAAGCTCCTGGATGCTACTTCATTGCTGCTTTGACAAAGAGTCATTAAGAAGAGGAAATGGCAGTTCTAAAACTTGGCGCAGGTGCCCCGCCACTGCTACCTGAAACACTGACGATGATGATCTTCAATAGCAGCCACCACCCTTTGGCCAGTCACTGTGAGGTTGGTCACATCATCATGTCACTCCCAGGAAGATGTGTGAGAGTCAAAGTACATTTGGTTGATCCCAGATTCATTGAGCTGGGATTCTGCACAGAAAGGTGTTAATGCTCTCAGCCTCTGTGATGGGTTCTCTCTTTGCAGAATGACACACTTTCTTCCTTCCGCCAGGAGGTTAGTGCGGCAACAGTGAGGGCCATACCCTGCTTCAGAGGGCCTGACCATCAAGCGAAGGCCAGGGGTGTGTGGCTGAGCCCCAATTTACTCTGGGCACTCAGGTGAATATTCTCTCCATCCTCCCTTTTCATGGATGTGCCTTTTCTTACTGTGACAATGGTAAGATCTACAGGACCAAGGCCAAGGTGTGAGACTAAGGAAGAGCAACTACATTATTAACTCCTGGTCTTAGGCTTAAATGGAGCTTTGAGGCTAGGACCCTTTATATCTCCATGTGGACTAGCTCATCAGGGAACCATGATAAATACTAGAGGCCTGGTGTATGAGAATTCATGTACTGAAGGGGGGGGGGGGGTTCCCTCAGCCCGGCCTGCCCCCTCTCACAGTCCAGGAGCCCTCAAAGGCGGGAGGTGACCTGGCGATCAGGGGAAGGCGATGCCCCATTACACCTCTGCTGCTGCCACTGCCAGCAGCAAAAGCCTCTGCCAGCCCTGGTTACCTGTGCCTCAGGCCGGCCCTGGGCAGCTGGGGGGCTGCGGGGATGGGGGACTTCGGGAGGCACGCCTGCCACCCCAGCAGGGCTAAGGAGACTGGACACTGCCATCTTGTGGCTGTGGGTGCCGCTATCTTTGAGGGCGGGGCAGTCAATTAGCATATGGCCTCCTTATTGGCTGTGGGTGCTGCCATCTTTACCACAGTGCGAGGGTCAATTAGCATATTCCTTCTTTAGTAGATAGGATGGGGGGCAAGTCCTGTTCTAAGAAAGAGGATCATGTTACCAAAGTGCTCCTGTGTGTTTAGTAGGACTTGGTATGAAGGATTCTGGGCCATAGCCCTATAAGTACACCCAGGGGGACAAGGCGTAACCATTAAAATAAAGAAATACAAATGCACACGGGAACAATGAATAAATTGTGATGGTGATAATGCCTTATGGGAACCACATATGAATGGTTCGAAACGCCATGCAGGGTTAGCAGAAGATGAGTACTCCTGCCGTGCACCCCAGTGAAATTACGGCTCATCACAACCGAATATGTTTGCCCCGCCTAGTTCTGATGGATCTGAAATGCCAGACCTTATTTGCAAATGTTACAAACCTCGTTCCCAGGAAGGGTGCTCCCATGCCGCATTCTCTCACTGTTGGGTGGTGGGGAACACAAGCAAGTGGTTAGGAAATAAAGCAGAAAGAAACAGCATCCGCCTACCTGGCTGGCATAGCCTCGGGCAGGGCGTCCACTCGCTGAAGGCAGTCACAGTGCAGTCTTTTTTGCATGGGAGGAGACAAGGGCGCACTGTTTCGGGGCGAGTGGAATCTGGACACCTGTCAATGTGAAGAGACCATATCAGTGCCTGCTGGGGAAAGTCAGTGCTTTAACATAAAACTGCAGGATTTCACCCTGTTGTTTTTTTTACAGACCAGGAGAGACAGCCCCGGGGCGGGGAACTACTGCCCCAGGGCTCTTCAGGCAGAGGCAGAGCAGGAGGCCTCAGCTCTCTAGTCCCAGACACTGCACTACTTTCCCCCAGACCAGGAAAAGCACAAGCCCTGAAACTAACCAAAGACAGACACCAAGGAGGGGTCTTCCTAGCAGCATCAATTCAAACAAACTATATATATATATATATATATATACTAGAGGCCCGGTGCACAAAAATTTGTGCACTCGGGTGGGTCCCTCAGCCCGGCCTGTGCCCTCTCGCAATCTGGGGCCCCTTGGGGGCCCCTTCCCCTGGCTGCTGGCACCAGTTTTCCTCCGGTGCCCGGAACCCAGGCCTTCGCTCTTCGCCGGGAGGGGCCTGCACAGTGGGTGAGGGGCTTAGCTCTTTTAAAAATACTTCTGAATGTTTGGTAAATAACCCTATAGGAATATACTTTCTGGAACATGTTGGTTGTTAAGGGCTGATTTGGGTAATCAACAAAATGTATGATAAAATCCTAATCCCCAGAACCTCAGAATGTACCTGTATATGGAGATAAGATCTTTAAAGAGGGGATTACATTAAATTGAGGCAGTTCCAGTGGGACCCTTAGCCCATTTCACTGAAGTCCTTATAAGAAGAGGAATGTTGGGGTCCTGCCCAGCAGGTCCAGGGGTTCCCAAAGGTGTGGACGGAGTCGGCGAAGAAGGAATGACACAGAGGCAGCGTTCAGGTAATCATCATAGCCAGGTTCTCTTTTTATTGTCCTGTTACATCTATATTTATACTATTTGATCCTATAAGCATGCCTCTATAAGCTTTTTTTTGCCGAGAGCATGGGGTCTGTTTATTGGGGGGTCAGTCAAAGGGGGAGCTGGCTAGGGTGGGGTAGGGCAGCAGCTTGTCTGGCCCCCGAGAAACCCAACTTGAGTCCAGAGCCTCAACCGCTTTGAAGCCAAAGTCTTCCTCCACCTTTATCTGCACGGGGGCCAGCTCCGGAGTCAGCGGGACTCCCGCCTGGTGCCCTTCCTGTGGCGCTCGCTGCGCTCGCTGCCTCTTCCACCCGCTGGGCCCCTCGCCAGGGGCCGGGCTGCTGGCTTCTGTGGGCGCTGGCGTCCTCCTGGGCGGGGACAGCCCCTCTTTCTCTGGAGGCTCGTTCTCAGCGTTGCCTGGGGTGGGGGCGTCTGTGCCCTGGCTGCCCTCGTCCTCCAGTATGATGGTGAACTGGCTGGCCCGGTAGTCATCACCTTAGGAGTCTAGCACCTTCTTGAGGAACCTCCGCTCCTGCTGGAGTCTCCGTGTTATCCTCTGTACCTGATGGAGCCTGTTCAGGACCCGCTTGTTCACCTGCTTGATCTCCCTGCAGTGCCGACCCAGCGCCTGGTACTTCCTGTGATTGAGTTCCCGTTGGCACCGCTGTTGCTGGCCTCGGGCTGCCTCCTCCTCTTCATCTCGCTCCTGGAGGCTGGAGCTGTCCAGACCCCCAGACAGGAACTCCACTTTGGTCTCAAGCTCGCTTTCCAGGATGTGACCTGAGAACTTCTCAAAGCCCATGGCTGCCATGGACCCCTCTCTCTGCTCCAGCTCCATTTCTCCCTGGCTCCCAGTGCAGAACTTCCAACCTTGCAAGCCTCTAGTTTAAAGTGGCTTGCAAAATGACACAGCCCATCCAATTTCACAGCCAGGCACCCAGGCCCCAGCTGCTAAGCCTCCTGGGAGTTGTAGTTCTCTATGTCCGGCTTGCCTCCCTCGCCCCACCCCCATCCCAGTCCCAACTGAAAGGCCCTGCTGGCTGGTCTAACCCTGTGGCCAGGCATCTGAGTCACCTTGGGTCTTTATTCCTTTCCCGACACCGCGCCATCTGACCACGGAGACTCTCCTCTTGGGAGGCCCCTGGGTCTCCTTCTGGGTCTCCTCAGGCCAGGCACTGGATCACGTGCCCCAGCAGCGATGCAGCCCTGGCGCCTGAGTCTCCTTCTGGGGCCTGGCTGCATCGCCCCCGGGGACCTGATCATGTGCCCCAGCTGCGACGCAGCCCGGGCCCCTGGGTCTCTTCAGCCCAGGCACCAGATAGCATGCCCCAGCGGCTTCTGGGTCTCCTGCTGGGGCCTGGCTGCGTCGCCAGGATCGCGTGCCCCAGCGGCGATGCAGCCCCAGCGCCTGGGTCACCTTCTGGGTCTCCTGCTGGGGCCTGGCTGCGTTGCCCGGATAGTGTGCCCCAGCAGCTTTGCAGCTCCAGCGCCTGGGTCGCCTTCTGGGGCCTGGCTGCATCGCCCCTGGGACGGACCTTGTGCCCAGGCTGCAACGCAGCCCCGGCGCCTGGGTCTTCTTCTGGGTCTCCTCAGCCCAGGCACCGGATCTCGGGCCTCAGCGGCTACGCAGCCCCGGTGCCTGGGTCGCCCTCTGGATCTCCTACTGGGACCTGGCTGCGTCGCCAGGATCACGTGCCCCAGCAGCGAGGCAGCTCCTGAGCCTGGGTCGCCTTCTGGATATCCTGCTGGGGCCTGGCTGTGTCGCTCCGGGGACTGGATCTCGTTCCCCAACGCTACGCAGCCCTGGCCCCTCGGTCTCCTCAGCCCATGCACCGGATTGCATGCCCCAGCGGCGCCTGGGTCGCCTTCTGGATATCCTGCTGGGGCCTGGCTGAGTCGCCCCGGGGGACGGGATGGTGTCCCCAGGCAGCTCTGCAGCCGGCCTCTGGCCCCGCCTCTGGGTGTTCTCCCATCACTGGTGATCAGGGATCTGAGAAGCCAGGCGGGGCAGGGAAGAGGCAGATATCCACCTCTTCCCTGCCCCACCCAGCTTCTGCGATTACTGGCCCAGGGCCAGCAAAGGCTGCCAGGTTCTCCTATCACAGAAGCCAGCAAAGGCAGCCTGGCTTCTCCGAACAAAGGCAGCTGGGTTCTCTGGCTCTTGGCTGCCACCTGGGTTTTCGATGTAGTCAACAGCAGGCGGCTTCTTCCCTCCTTCCCCTTTCGCCTCTCAGCATTGCGGCTCCATATGCAAATTAACCGCCATCTTTGTTTGTGGTTAACGCCATCTTGGCTGACAGTTAATTTGCATAAGGATATGCTGATTAGCCAATGGGAAGGGTAGCAGTCGTACGCCAATTACCATGTTTCTCTTTTATTAGTGTAGATAGAATGAGCACATATTTTTGAAGTGTTTTATTCAGGATAATATATCAAATCAGTGATATCAGTCAAAGGGAAGAGGAAAGTCCAAGGCAATAAATGGAAAAATTGAGAAAGAAAAATCATTGAATTCCACTGAACTATACATATTTGATTATTAACACAATTTACAATAGTCAGGTGTCTCTTTAGAACCTGTAGATTGATGAAGTGGAGTAAGCAAGATGTGACAGACTGCAAGTAACATATGTACTGACTAGCATTCGCAAAAGAAGCACTTCCATGATTTTGTCGATTATTCATTTAATGCTCATCTTGGGAGGAAAAGTAATATAAATAGTCCATGGATTCATTTCACTGGGAAGAACTAAAGTCTCAGAATATGGCAAACAAGTTTTTTTTTCCTGTTTTTTTTTATGACAACACAGGGCTAAAAACCACATTTATTATCTTCTAAAACAGTGATACGCCAGGAGGAAAAAACAGAAAAATACCTCATAACATGTTTGCACTTTAAATTCTGTTCCTCATAAATTTCTAATACAAAAACAGTGGTGCAGTATGCAGAAAGCCTGATGGTGTGAGCTTGGATATTAGATCCCCAGCGCTGCATTGTGTTTTGCCTACATTCTTTCATTTCTCCCTAATGACAAAGTAAAAGTCACTATAATCTTCATTTTCAGGTGATAAAACTGAGGTGCCAAAGCCACCTGGGGACAGCGTACTTGAGAAAAATTATAAAACACCAGGTCTAGCAAGTTCAGACAATCAAAAGTTCTTCCAGTACAAGAGAACAGAAGATGTAGCAGATAAAATTCACAAAAATAATAATGGATTAAAAAAACAAAGAGCTAGCCCTGGCCAGTGTTCCTCAGTGGTTAGAGGATCGGCCCATGCACTGAATGGTAGTGGGTTCGATTCCCAGGCAACGGCAGGTACCTGGGTTGCAGGTTTGATTCCTGGCCTGCACATGGCAACCAATTGATGTGTCTTTCTCATCTCTCTCTCTCTCTCTCTCTCTCTCTCTCTCTCTCTCTCTCCCCTGCTCTCTCTCCCTTCCACTCTCTCTAAAAAAAAAAAATCAATGGAAAATATATTCTCAGGTGAGGATTAACAAAAACAACAACAAAAAGAGCTGATGAGAGTCTGAAGATTCAGATGAAAGCCCACCAACTGAATTACAAAATTACAAATATGCAAACACAGAGATTGTCCAAATTTCAAACACTAAGAAAAAGTAAGAGAAGCGATGATACCACCAGGGGTTGTGCACAGAACATGGTGGGTGTCGCAGCAGGCGGCAGAGCGCGGAACATGGTGGGCATAGGCCCCAGTGGGAGGGTGGAGCAGGTGAGCAGGGGCGCCAGACCAAGGCAGGGAGCTGGTCGCTGTTATCAGGGAGAGCCTCTGGTGGTTACTAAAAATTCTTTGCTCCTGTGTGCCGAGGTGCCGGCCGGTGCTCACACCTGCTGCCGGTGCTGGCCCCGCTTGCACCCACTGCTGGCGCCAGCCCCAATTGCTCTGTGGTGTGGTGGCAGCAGGAGTGGGGCTGCCAGCAGACAGGAGACTGGGGGCTGCAGCAGGAGGAGCTGGGAGGGGGCGCAGAGGATGGGCGGAGACCCGCCCCTGTGTCTACCACAGTCTTGTGGCCCACAGTTCCTTTCAAGGTGCACAGATTTGTGCACTGGGCCCCTAGTCTGATTAATATTAGAGCTCATGAATTTTCATAGTTATAAAAATGAAAACATCTTCTTAGTTTTAAATCTTT